GGTGATGCACGACGGTACTGCATCTTTGAATAGTGGACCCAGAATCTGGTGAGTAATGGCTAGGTCATTTTCGAAGCGTAGTGTCTTGATGGCGCTCCGATCAATGAAGTCCTTGCATTATTGCACTCGTCGGAAAGCTTTGAAATAAAGGAGGCCATTGGTAAAGATGAGAGAATGTGGGGTTAAAAGAGGAGGTTGCAGAGAGATGAACTCGAGGGCTTTGTTTAAGCAAGTAGGAATGGCAAAAGGAAGATTTCAAAATTTCTGAAGGCGTGGGATGCGAATGGTGGAAATTTAGGTATTTATAGGCTTTTCAGAAGGAAGATCAAATGTTTGGTATTCGAAAAGCACTAATTCGAATTGGGGGGAAATTTAACCGGGAAAAGGTCCCAATCATTTCAGATATTTTGGGAACCTGCGAGGATAGGATCGAGATTTTCGAGGATCGAGATTTTCGAGGATCCAGGACGCACGATTGCGTGTGGCGACGATTTTAATGCATTAATGAGGAAGAGACGCTTCGGTGGGTGCACGTTTTCGAGGGCCATGATTGAAAATTGTTAGGATTGGCAGAGAGTCGACACGTGGCTGCACGGCGGGAGTAACAAGGATGGTGCAATCATATCTTATAAATATGCAATGATGGTTATCAAGAAAAGCGAAGTCTGAGAAATAAAAGATGGTTCCGTTTCTTCAAGGTCGAAGCCCGACCAAAGGTCGACAGTCGGTGGCCTCAGAAGCGAGGGGACAGTGTTTGGGTCCAAAATAATATTGTTGGGCCGAGCATACGGTTAGGCTCGGTCCAAAGCTATATCAACTACTATGGGTTGCCTAATAGATTCTGGGCCAGTTAGCAGGGGCGGTCGACTACTATCCTAAGAAGGAATAATTCAAATAAACAAAAAGGTCGAGAAAGTCCTAGTGCAACCAGGATTCCCGGTCAGCGAAGAATAAGGCCTCGGAAGAGGGGAAAGTTCAAAATCCTAATGGGAGTGGGTTTGTTCGAAGCAAAGTTGGAGCGGGACAAGGACTCCCAATCCAGATAAGGGTGCAATTCGGTCTCAAGGAATGGGGGCTATAAATACAAGAAATCATGCGATGCAGAAGACCTTCGATTCAACATACAATTGCCCTACGCAAAGCCTCTCATACATCTTGAGATTTTTCCTTTTCTTTTCCGCTAACACACCTTCAGTTTGGATAAACAGCACTGTCGCCGTAGAATCAGCCGACCTAGGAGCACCTTCAGTTTGGATAAACAGCACTGCGTCGAGGTCGACTGGTTACCTATCCAAGTCTCGGCCGAGAAGGGTTTTCGAATCCTTGTTGGCAGAGGTCACCTTGTTAGCTCTCTTGGTGTAGCAAGGTGTCACGAGCTCGTTATTCGGCGTGCTGGACGCCGAGTGATTTTATGATTGGATACTCACAAGTGAGTTTCAAAGTTCGGCATTCTGACGGCCGAACTACATTCACCATCAAGACCCACATCACCTTTGAGTACTTGTGTCCGTATAGTCTGGTGTCGATTCGATGTGCTTATACTCTTACGAATATAATCACAGTGACCGAATCGGGCGCCGACGATTTGTGAACTTCTCCGAACTAGCAGCCTTGTCTTCAGGCTCTAGAACCCAAAAACCGAGAGTGTTCCTTCCTCGGTCGCAGTCGCAAGATAAAGAAGTCAACAACGTGCTCGACGCGACATCAACGAATTTTACTCCTCGGCCAAGCTCGGCCAACGACTTGGCACGCCCCTCATTCAACCAAAGGACGTAGTTAGCTTATTAGTTACTCGGCCTGTGCGCCACGTAGGTTTTGTAATTTTTAGAGTCAACACATACCCATTTCACCAAAACAAAAAATAAACATACCCATGAAGTTATTTTCGAGGTCACCCAGTTCGACTTTAGATCCATCGATGACGGCTGTCCTTGCTTGCCCTAGATTCTGCAATTTCAAATGGGTGTAAACAAACAGAGGATTACAACTTTAGTGAAAAGGGTTGAACGATTTCTCAGAATCCAAACATATTAATAAATTTCCCATAAATAAATAAATAAATTGGAAAATTGGAGAATCAGACCCCCATCTTCTTCTCACCAAGTAGCCCATAACAAAACCTTTTCCCATTTGCCCTCTTTCTGCGGCTCTTCTTCTTCTCCTTCTTCTCCTTCTTCTCTTTCTCTCTCTTTTTCTGTATGCAAGCTGTGGGGAAGAAGAAGTAGATGGGAAGGGCGAAGCAGAAGGGACCAAGCGGAAAGAGCGAAGCAGAGATGGTCTTAGCGAGTCCCATGGTTGGGGTAGGGTCTCGCTAAGAACTGCTAGCGAGGCCGAATCCCGTTTAATCTCATTTAACTTAGTCCCGATACGGATCAAACATGAGACACTAGGAAGTAGTCCAGTCCAGTTTCCCTTAACAAAACCAAACAAACATACTCTAATATTATATTTTTTACTATTACTGCCCATATAAACTTTATAACATCTCGTTTAGAGCATCTCTAAAGATTATCCTTTCCAACATAGAGTTTCTTCACCTAGACAACAAAATAGAGTAATAGACTAACACATAACTATGTACGTACGTTACACTCATTCAACAGAGAAATATAGTTGTTAGGTTTTGGGCCTCTCTGAAACAAGTTGATCAGTGTACAATTATTCCCAAACTTGCGAATATTGTTCTGCCAACAGTTAATTAATTGAAAATTATATATATATATATATATATATCTCTCTCTGCTGAGCTGACGAAGGCGATAAGTAGAAATGTTAGATCGAACTCCTCCTTCATGTCCAACTCAGTTGGCAACATATTATTTGGAAGTTCCCAATCAAAACAATGCACAAGTTGTGCCGCCAATAGCTGTACCATCGTTATGCCTAACTGCATTGCCGGGCAACCTCTTCGACCGGAGCCAAATGGAATAAAATGAAAGTCACGTCCGCAGAAATCTATACTTCTTCCATCAAACCTTTCCGGTACAAACTTTTCTGCATCAGTCCAGACATTAGGATCCCTCCCAATTGCCCATATGTTGATCATAACACGGGATTTTCCGGGTATGTGGAAGCCATTAACGTTGCAGTCCTCGATGGCTGAGTGGGGAAGCAACAATGGTGCCACTGGATGAAGCCTCACTGTTTCATTCAATACCATGTCCAAATACTCTAACTTCTCCAGGTCTGATTCCTCCAGCATTCTCTCCATGCCGACTACATTTTCTATCTCCTTCTGGACCCTCTTCATCACCTGCGGATGCTTGATGAGTTCAAAGAGTGTCCACTCAGTTGCTGTTGCTGTTGATGTAGTGCCCATCCTGCGAGCAAATCCTGCAACGAAATTGTTGTCCAGAATAAGCACCCTGGAGGTCAGTTGAGCAAGACCAGGGATGTAATCACCAAAGTTAGGGGTGGCAACTAAATGCATGCCCTCTTGTACCACAGCCTTGAAAACCCTCTCATCCATTTCTTTGTCCTTGTACTCCTTCCCAAACACCATAAGGCAACTAATGTCTGCTCTAAGAGACGAAAGCTTGGCACTGAGATCGACGGTAACACGACCACAAGCAGCCTCTTGAATAAAGTTAATCAAAAGGGCAAGCTCTTCTTTCCTCATGGATTTGAAAGAACTGATGGGCGCTAAGCAATTCGAGGGTACACATCTTACGTGTGGTTCACCTATAAGAGCCGTACTCGCCGAAGGACAAGTTCCTTTTCCACCAAGAGATATGCTTTGGAGCTTCAAGTGATCGCCTACTTGCAAAATTAAGGTCATGTGTTTTGAGAAACAACTGATCAGCAGCCTGAGGGGATGTGACAACAATGACAGGAGGAAGCCCTAAGCGCTGGTACATGATGCCGCCGTGCTTTTGAGCTAGTCAATGCAGATCCCGATGAGGGAGCTCCCCTAACATATGCAGGTTCCCGAAGCAGCGGAAACCCTCTAGGACCGGGAGGCAGTATCTTCTTTTTGTTGTTGCTTTTGGTCCATGCTTGCAGCACATAAACAAGTGCTAGCAACCCAACAATTGCCCTAACCCAATACACGGCTGAGTACTCAAATGATACTCGCTAGTATGCTGGTTCGATAGCAGTGCAAATATTTACAGCATCAATGGCATGCTTTTCTTTTTGTTGTTCTTTTTTCTTCTTTTTCCTTCTTTTTCTTGGTTGTGTTTGTTTATAATATTTGACATGAGTAGGAGCAAGTTCATGCTCTTATGTAGGGAGCCAACCATTCCTTGACAATCTATCCGGCAATGAAAAAGAAATTAAAAACAGCCACTGTGGTTCGCCCAGTGGGGACGGTGGGCAGAGGGATGAATAGCAGTAGGCTAGGTTTGAAACCCTACTTTTGTTTGTAACAAACAAAATATAAGGAAATAAACACACGATCAACATTCAATGGACATAAATAAGGGTCGGAATCTTTGTTTTCTTGTGATTAGTGAATAAGTAGTTAATTAGTTATATTCGAAGGGATGTAATTAACAAGGCAAACTTGAGATACGATGTCCTTATGATTGTAGTAAAGTATATTAAGCTGGCAGGCAGGCATAGACATATTTGATTTATTCCACCAAACCTTTTTGCTAGGCTTGTCAGTCGAACAACTTCCAACTCACTCCACAAATTAAAATGATTCCCAAGTCAACACCTTTGATCAAAGACCAAAGCCTCACGCGCTCACGAGTTATTACAGTAGTGATTGTTAGCACACACTAGAAAGTAAACTAAAGAACCTTAGATTGACAAGTAATGCTGAGTCTTGAATAATGATTCACTACTTGAGCAATTTGAAGCCAGTCATCCCTCTTCCAACTCTGTGTATCAGACCAGACCATAAATTAGAACGACACCAGAAAAGATGAACGCATTAAGTTTAAGGGACAGATTATTCTCTCCCATAAATATGATTAGTCCATCGAAAATGATTAAATGTGCCATAATGTACCAGAAGGAGAAAAGGTAAATCTGAAGATTCAAAGGCTTGGGGTTTAGAAAAAGGAATTCATACCATGTATTGCTTCCATGTTGTCTTCCCTGTAAACACCAAGAGGCGAGCCATGGACAGATACGAGCATCTCCCCAGGCTTTGGGAACCTTACCGTTTTGGGTGTCATCCCAATGGACAGCCCTTGGCTATTAACCTGTAGCATAAACCAGAGTTTTTAAGAGCACTCAACAACCTTATTGGCTAAAAAACAACTAACTACCAACTATCGTGTACTCGTCATAACTCAAAATCTTTACTAACAAAACTCAAAATCTTTACTAACAATTTATTATATTCTTCACACGATTAAAGTCACTAAAACATTATTACGATACTCTTCTCCAATTTTCCCCTTTACAAATCATTAGTGTTTATTTTTACAGGAACTTTTTTAAGTCCAGATCTCTTCAGCACATCCACGTAAATTCACCAAAGCAACAAGTTTCCCTTGTAGTTTGTTACCACAAACAGATAATCAGTTTAACGCTTCTTTTAGGTCCTGAAGATAGACACACCGATACTTTTGAAACTCATGCATTTCATAAGCTGTTTAGGCCTTCTAATAATCCCAGGTATGGAAGAATATGGAATCAAACTAAAAGCTATCAACAGAACTACACATTTATTGTAATCAGACCAAGTGTGCCTCAATATAAGCCAAATATGAAAAATCAATCAATAAGGCACAAACCCCAAGAGTTTGGAGAGTATCTTGCTTCCCTAGCATCAGAGAATTATATGGCTCCTCTGAAACCTACAACAGATATTTTAAAAAGGTTACGTACGTATACCTATGTCTGAATGTATGGATGTCAGTATCAATTTATGTGCGTGTGTATGTGCCATACGAAAGTGAAATTTTACCAACGTGTGAATGCAACATAAGCATATCACAACACATTAAAAAAATGATCCCCTAAATTTTTAGAGGGACATAAGTTATAAGAGAACATACAAGGTCCCTGGTCTGAAGATTATCAGTTCCCAGAATGCTTGTTCTCGCTGCCACAAATCAACTGAGTCAGGCGAGATATAAACAAAGCAAGAACATTGAGGATACAAAAATAAGTCCTCTGATTCTTGTTCTTTATGTCGAAAGATTAGAATTTGCTAATACCTACTTTACTAGAAAACTCAAGGCCACCTAAAGACGGGATTGCAGCTGAGCAACCAGAATAAGCCATGGACAATCGACGAAAAAAGTCCCATATAAATCTATTCCATCATTGATGGACACATTTCCGTCTTTTTCAAGCCATTGGACTTCCCTCATTCCATTTTCTCCATTTGTTACAATAGACAGGTTTTGATAGTTGTGTTTTAAAAAAATGCAATAATGGGGTTTGCAGCTGTTCCTTGGTGAAATGGGAGCGAAGCAAACGCAATTTCGTCAACAGATGTTCAAACTCCACATCACGCATACCTGCATCTTGTTTGCAACCAATCAAGAACCTGTATCTCCTCTACAATGGGGACCCGATATGGGCAATAATGCAGAAGTTCCTGATATGCTTAATGTGGGCTATGACGGGCTCCTGGAATGGGTTGGGTGCCAGTGGAGTGGGTAGAAGACTTGGTGAAGGCTGTGGTGGCGGAAGGTTTTGGAGAAACGGAGAAGGGTTTTGGAGTAAAAGTAGAGACAAGTGGTGGTTTTGCTGGGGGTGAGGGGGAAGCATTGGGGGTGGTGACTGTGGCAAGTTATGGGAACACAAGTGAATCAACGGGGGGATGGATGAAATCTTAACGAATTGAGCCAATAACAGATCTGGATCCGTGAGAGAGGGTGGAACACGGGACTTCGATTAGGTTTGATTTTATTTCCTCATTCTCCTAGACGAAAAAATCAGTAGAGGAGTTCTCATTAATATTGAAGGGTTTACACAGATACATAGGTTCAAGCATAATCATCATTAGTGAGTTCTAATGACTAGTTTAAGTACAATAATGACATTAGGGATTACTTGTGGGAGAATGTTCTTCTTTTATAGTTGAGGAGAGTCTCCAGCTTTTGTCCACGGTCGATGTGGGACTATGTGAGCTTTATTCTGACATTGACATGTGTCTTGTTATGATTGGCCTCTTGGATAGAGGGAAACTCTTATGCTTCAGCAAGGGTGCCTCAGCATGAACCCCTCAGTGGGTCCTTGAAGGTATGACGTTGACCAGTGCTTGATAGTTTCGAGATTGGTCAAGTATGGTACAAAGAGTGCTCCCCTAAGTTCCCGAGTGAGGAAAGCTTCTCGGTTGGGGACTGGAAAAATCTGAGTCGCTGAGTAATCACGAAACTTCTAAGTATCGGAGTATAGTAGCATATAGTGGGAGTCCCCCAAGTCTCCAGGCGAGGAGAGTTGCTGAAAGAGGTGCCTTACTTTTTGTCAATTTGTCAAAATAGCTAGCTTTGTTTGTGATATCACATATCTTCATATATGTCTCAACCTGAAAATATTTCAAACTAGTTTGAACTTCACAAAGGCCCAACATTTTTTTATATTTTAGAAGCCCAATTCTTTCTTGCTTCATGTTGAGAAGTACGGAAAGAATAAAATAAAAATAAGGCCCAAGTTTAGAAAGCCCAAAGCACTTTCCCCTTGCTTCAGTCCAAATTTATTATGATTTCTAAAGAAAAAATTGTGAGGCCCAAGGGAGGGGTGGCTCGCTACCTCATTAAATATCTATTCTTTTTTTGTTTTTTTTTTTTTTTTTTTTTTTTTTTTTGTAATGGGTGGGTGAGTTTATTGATTGTAGGTTTTTGGTTGTAGATTTTTGTTTGGGCACATAGTTTGTGTAGTTGAAGCTATTTCTAGGAGACTATAAATTAATTTTACTTCACACTTTCTTGATCAAGGGTATGTGAAGTTTTTTTGTTAAAGCTTTATAGGTGAAACTTTGTGGGTGAAGCCTTTAGATTGAAGCCTTTTGGTTGAAGTTTTCTAGGTGAAGCCTTTAGGTTGAAGTTTTCTAGGTGAAGCTTTTAGGTTGAAGCTTTATGGGTGAAGCTTTTTAGGTTGCAAGTGAAGCTTTTTGGTTGAAACTTTATTGGTGAAGCTTTTTAGGTTGAAGCTTTGTAGGTGAAGCTAATATGTTGAAGCTTTACAAGTGAAGTTTTTTTGTTGAAGCTTTGTAGGTGAAGCTTATATGTTAAAACTTTGTAGGTGAAGCTTTTATGTTGAAACTTAGCTTTGTAGGTGAAGCTTTTTGGTTAAAGCTTAGTAGGTGAAGCTTATATGTTGAAGCTTTGTAGGTGAAGCTTTTAGGTTGAAGCTTTGTTGGTGAAACTTATATGTTGAAGCTTTGTAGGTGAAGCTTTTAGGTTGAAGCTTGGTAGGTGAAACTTATATGTTGAAGCTCTATAGGTGAAGCTTTGTAGGTGAAGCTTTTACGTTGAAGCTTTTGTTGGGCACCATAAATTGATTTTGCTTCACACTATCTTAATCAAGAGTGTGTGAAGCTTTTACTTGTTGTAGTTGCATTCTATGTGTTGAAGTTTTGTGGGCCTTCTCCACATGTCATAATTAATAATAATTGCTTAATTAATAATTAATTAAATAATTATTAATTATTTTGATAATTATTAATTAGTTAATTTCGGATTTTTTTTAGGGGACAAGAAAATGTGGGAGAGACCACATATATAGATTTTGTGCAAGAGTGTGTGAGGCAAACCACATATTGTAGTAGATGAAGGTTCGGAGGAACCATATAAATTGATTTTGCTTCGCATAGTCTTGATCAAGAGTTTGCGAAGCTTTTTATGAGTTGTATTGTTTGCATTGTTACAAAGGGGAAATGTCTGGAGCAAATGCAAGAGGCTTGAAGAGCTTGATCTTTGTATACCATGCACTGAAGCCCTTGTTGGCTTGTAAGAAGACTTTATTGGTGACTATAACCCTTGTTGGGCATAGTGCTCCCCCAGTTGGGTTGAGTTAAGCTTGTTTATCCCTCTTTTGAGTTGTAAGGCTTGAGGGTTTTTATTATTTGTGAATGCTAAGAGTTCACATGTACAAGTTGTACCACTCCTCACCTAGTTGGTGGAAAGAATGATGAGTTGCCAAGGAAAAACTATTATTAATAGTACTAGTTGTACTCTTCATCGCCTGATTGGTGATACGAAGGTGAGTTCCCTCATTACGTAGTAAATGATCAGAGTGGCAATTGTTGAATGATATTAGAGTACGGGTTGTACCTTTCATCACCTGGTTGGTGATACAAAGGTGAGTTCCTTCATTACCTGGTTGGTGAGAATAAGGGTGGTACCAAGGCACATTATAAAAAGTGCCGAATGATAAAAAGTATGTTGACACCCCCTTCGAAGTTCAGTTAGCTTATGTATGAATGTGTTGAAATGTATGATGTTTATGTTGATTGATATAAGTGATGCTTATGAAAGTTTTGCTATGCATAAAGGAATCCATGCTTTAGATATGTGAACTATGTTGGTTGTAACACTTAGTTTCACTTACTTTGTGTCAAAGTATGCATGTTGAAGCTCTAAGTTAGAGTATAAAGGTAGGTCAGCATAGACCAAGTGTTCCAGTGCTAGGAATGTAAAAGACTCAGACGAAGTTGTCTGATTCCATCTTCATTAAATATTTACCGAATGGCTTGTGTTACAAAAGATCTCAAATGGTTGAGGGTCAAAACATTTGTAATGTGTATGCCTTTTTATAATAGCATTTCCTTCAGCACCTAATACCCCTACTTTGAAAGAATGAGGATTGACCCCATGGTTATAATAGTTGAAGGTACGTTCACCCTAGTTGTCTTGATATGAATCTTTATCCCTCTTGTTGTAATGAGCTTGCTGAGAGTAAAGATATTTCCTCTTACCAAGAAAAGAATACGTTTGGTGACTTAACGAGTAGCTAAGTGAGGCAGGAGAGGTGCAATGGGTGTCTAAATAGCCAAAACCTCTTTACTTGGTAGAACTTGACTTCCACTCTGCACGTGTTGATAGGGGTTAACCATATGAGGGTTCCGTTGGTATATCCTTGCCTCGGCAAAGGCATGATTGTAAGCTTGCATCATCACTTTAGAGTAAGTTTTCCAAGTGTTAACATTGATCATGTACTTGAAGAAGCATTCACGTATACCTCTTATGAAGGCCCTGAGTGCTGTTTTATCATCTGCCTCACCGTAATGAGCGTACTCGTGGCTGAAGCGACATGCTTATTCACGCAATGACTCGTCCGATTTCTAATGAATGGTGTATAACTCATCAGCGAAGTGTAAGTGATCAGCTTGGAAGATATGTTGAGCCACGAAAAGTCTTCTTAGCTCAGCAAATCCATAGTATTAGTTTGAAGACGACAATACCAATTGAGAGCTCCACCAAAGAGAGTTGAGGGGAATATAAGACACCATTCCTCATCATTGTGTCTTTGGTATGCCATGGTAAATTCGAAGACGTGGATATGCTCAATTGGATCTTCCTCCCAGCATATGATTGTAAGCCAAGCTTTTGTTTAGTTTTGCCTTGTAGCAGGGTGCAAATTATCCTTCTTGTTAGAGAGTCTGGCCTTGGTTGATTCCAATTAAGTATTTTGGCCTGACGCTTAGCCTTTAGCATGTTCACTTCTTCGACGAGCTGCAAGATAAGGGGGTCCTGAGTGGAGTCAGGCACCATTAGAACTTTTTTTCATAAGTTTCTCTCATTCTTTGGAAGTATAGAAGTTTGGTCAAAGGCATGTGGCCTTTCCTTGGATTCACCGTACTCGTTTCCGGGACGTGTTTGTTGAAAGTCCCTCGAGTCTCCTACACCTTCTTGTACTTCAAAGGCTTGTCGTTCCTTTCTTGGATTGGGAGCTGGCCTACTGTTGTGGTAGGGACTGAGTCCTTTGATGACCTTTAGGTATTTGATCATTGATCTTATGTGGATGGGGTTTTCTCGACGCTGCCTCAAGAAGTCTCGACAATCGCAATAAACAACTTTTGATATTTCCACTCCTTCTGCAATAAGACGTCTCCCTCCACTTCTTCTGCTTCTAGGTCAAAATAGCAAGTTAAGAAGAAGTCTTATGTTGATCAACACATTGATGAGTAGCTAACTCCTCATTAGGAATATCCATGTTGAAGACCGATGATCCCCCATGTTGGGGGTACCCAGGTGATGGTTGACGTCTATAGAGGCAATGGGCTTGTGTGACTGAGTATGCCTAGACGCATGGAGCATTTTGAAGATCTTATCATGCTGCTCCTAGAGCATTTCATTCTTCATTGCTATCTTGTTATTATGAGCCTCCAGCTCTTCGACTTTAGCTTAGAGAGAAAACTTATTTCGTTCATTCTTTCGCTGCCTCACACTAGGCATAATGGGAGTGTCGTTTTGTGTGTTGTGGCTTCCTTTGCTCCCTATGTTGGAGAGGGATGCCTAATTGAATGAGAGTGTACGAACGATGGAAGCCAGCTTGACAAAGCTGGAGAGAGTAGGAATAAGTGTCTCTTCCCACAGACAACGCCAAATGTTGATGCACAAAATCAATGAAGACTTTGGAACAACGTAAAGTGTCAAGTTTGTGACCTTCGCTCGGTTGCTCTGGTCACCTAGTAAGGATAATATGTAAAGAGATAGAGATAGAGAAACAAACGCAAGATGTATGTGGTTCACCCTAAGTTTGGCTACGTCCACTAAGTAAAGGAATTCTCATTAATAGTGAAGGGTTCACACAAATACATAGGTTCAAGCATAATCATCATTAGTGAGTTCTAATAACTAGTTTAAGTACAATAATGACATTAAGGATTAATTGTAAGAGAATGGTCTTCTTTTATAGTTGAGGAGAGTTTCCAGCTTTTGTCCACGGTCGATGTGGGACTCTGTGAGTTTTATTCTGACGTTGACGTATGTCATGCTGTAATTGGCCTCCTGGTTGGATGAAAACTCTTGTGCTTCGGCAAGGGTGCCTCAGCATGAACCCCTCAATAGGTCCTTGAAGGTATGACGTTGATCTGTACTTTGTAGTTTCAGGATTGGTCAAGTATGGTACAAACAACATTGGTGATATTACATCGTACTGAGTTGGTGTCACATGCTAGATCAGAGGGGTCATAATTCATATGGTCCGTAACACTGGAGTCTATGATCGAGTATTATCACTGTTCACATGTAAAGCATAACCACAGTTACCTGAAGACTTTGAAGATAGGTTAGTTGAACTAAAGATAGCAAGAGGATCATCTTGAGAAATTAAAGATAATTCAAACATTGAAGTTGCGAGATTGGCAACTGCATCCCAAACTTCCTTCACCATTGGTAGTCAAAGAAGATACCCAATTAAATTGGGTTCTATAGAATTAATCAACCAACCTTTCATGATGGCATTCTCTGTGCACCATATGGTGAAAACCAGATTATTGATAAGAGGTTGAGGATTATTTTCAAAACAAGTATCCCAACTTATCTTCGCCAGCAACAAACACCTCAACAATTTGAGACCAAACTCCATAATTGGCACCGTTAAGCTTAATGCCAATTGTTGCCGTAGATGAATCGTGATGGACGATTTGTGTGACAACTTGTCGGGTTCATGGTAGGAGCTTAAGATCTCTGCTTGGATACCATGCTAATTTGGGCTAATTTTGGAGTTTAATTTTCTGATAGTATTCAACTTCAAATGTGTAAAATCTATAGAAAATACAAATACACCTTAGTTACTCCTCACACTGAACAAAAAGTACAAGAGTTAATGAACCTATGTATAAGATTCAATGAACCCAATTGTTCAATAAACCTGATTAACATACCAAAGTCGCTTTAACAACTTTCTGTGAAAGATGGCTCAAGCCACCTTTGTAAGAGAATATTCAACTTACGCCAACAATTACTACTAGCACGGATACACTGATACACTAGTGTCATGTGCCTATGAAATAAAGATGTGTAAGTTTTTTTGTCCGCATAGATGTACTTTTGCAATGTAAATTGTTCATGACACTATTGTAACAAATATTGTCCAAGCGGTATTACCGGTGCAGTAGATGATTGCCATGTGTGCAGACAGTCCATTATCCATGGCGTCACCCTTTCAAAAGGTAACTTCTTACCAATTTTTCTTCAATCAAATTAAAATGCCCAACTGAAAATGTATGAGAAGAAAAAGAGTACAGAGACACTATTTTGTTCCTGAAGGGAAAGGCAAGCATAACAAAGTTGTTCTAAGCTTTACAAAAGCAACTGATATTTCAAGTGCAAAACTTGTTAAATAATCTACCAGCTATTATTTATATCCCAATTTGGCCACCTTTAAAGTGCAAAACTAGTTAAATATATAGTTACATATCAGCTCGAAAATTCAAAAATCTGTCTGATACAACATTATACAACAATTATGCACATCCCAGCAGCCCAAATTTTGATGGGAGACCACAGAATGCCATGTCAGGCTCTTAGCTATAAGATAGTTACAAAACAAATTACAATGTTATGACTGAAAGCTGCCTTATACAGTCATCGTCCTGAAAAATGACGACACATCTTCAATATAACTACATTCAGGAATGTAATTTTAGGACTGCTTGAAACAAAGTCGCAATAGCCAACCTAACCGAATAGAGTTACAAATCTAACTCTTATTAAACTTTGGTTGAATAAGACCCAGTGCTCAGCTTCTAAAAAAACCATCACAAACCTGTGAAATGGAAGTTCAGGATCATATTTGTTGCTATAAGAACCGTGATATAGTCTGCATTCCCCAGATCGACCCTAATTCTCTTCAAGGATCAGAAAGTTGACTTGTAAAACCATGAGCTGGATTTCCCTCCACTTGAAAAATGCAACATAATATGTTTATAAGAAAAAGCGGAGTGCAAGTGTATTTGTAGTTGCAAACAGCAATCACATTTGGTATTCTATTCTATTCTTGTGCGTTAATCGAGCAACTACAAAAAATTTCAAACAGTTAACGGGCAGCTGTACTCACCCATTTGGTTTCTCTAAGACCCAACTATATCATATGGATCATATATTTTTCCTGTTAATGATGTGGTAAGATCCGTTAACGATATCAGAGACAAGGTTGGTGGGTTTGACCAAGTAATCATCCCGGACAAGCTTTGATTTAAGTTCTCCCTGTTAAGTCATTCAACTTGTTGCCAAAATTCCCATCCATTACAAAACATGAAGACATAAAACTACTTATTTACTTGAGCAGAAAAGGCATTTTGGAGCCATGACCTTTAAGGACGCTCAACACTCAGCTCTCTTTTCATTTGAAACCTTGTTTCTCTATCTCAACTCTCATGGATGAAGAACTAAATAATAGATTGTATAAATAGAATAAGCTTCACTCACCAATTGTTTAAGCAGTTCCTGTTATTAATCTCTCCCGCTCATCGAACTTTTTCACCTTTATGAGGCCAATGAGAACCTGAAGACCAAAAAATGCACAAAAGACATATGCTACAATGGCAGGAACCTGAGAATAAATAGGTAGCATCAGAATTGAGCTTTGAAGAAAATCAGACAACAGGGATTCAAACACAATGCCATAGGTAACAAAAGTAATTTGATAGCTTACTCGAATGGAATTAATATACAAGATTGTTGCGAGATTTATTAGGCTTCCAGCAGCAACTGCCTGCAAATTAGTCAAACAAAAGATCAAGCCAAGCAGACATCATGTCATTATAAGATTTAGCAGACAAGAGAGACGTTCAACTAGTTGAGCTGTAAATAGTACATATCAGTAAAGTAGGATTTTCATATAAGCTTTAGCAGACGAGAGATACAGAACCATGCACGTGCACCTAGTTCAGAACTCAAGATGACTCAGAAAAGCAATCAAAACCTCTACTCTACTTCCCAAACTGTCAATGTGTGTCTTCTGCTTTTTTATTCTTTTGTTCGGTAAGAACGTTTTTGAATGCCATTCAATAATGCTACAGTTAGAACTGATTTATTTGATATCTAGATATGGTACCCCGTTGTTGGCAAGGAAGCGTTAATGTCAGTGTCACACACTTATGAGAATATGCATATAAATCATTAAAATAGACCCCTTCCATGCTTGCGGATGTGAGTAGGACAGAACCAAACCTCAGAATGGCTTTAATATAATTTGTATTATAACTAATGGAACCTCATAAAGAAAAGAAAATTCAAATCAGAACTTTCTTGTCAGATTATTATATACTGAAACAAATTCCAACAAAGATAAGTATCATGTGTGTAAGCCATTAGGTCATGAGTAAGTTCAACTCACATTTCCAACAGTCTTCTGGACAGTTGCAACCCGCTGGAATGCCCTCTCAGATTCCAAAGCCCGAACTCTAAGCTTCAGATCACCTTGCTCCTATAAATAAACAAGTGGCATCCACAACTGAGAAAATTATAGCAAGCTATTCAAAGTATTCACACATAAAAAACAGTTGGTACCAATCTTTGTATAATTTCAGCAAGCTTTTCAACTCTGTCAGCCTGTCTAAATAAGTTATAGAACGCACGAGACTGCCTGTCCCATCTATTTCTGAGGTCCTGGAACATTTATAAGTTTAGTGTAAGAATGGGGTTTGTACTAGAAAGATTGTATAATATGAAATTTAATATGGATGCAAAGAGTTTGCCTTTATAATGACTTCAACTCCAGCTTCACGAAATTTTAGCAATTCCAGTGCATAGCTACAGGGCAGAGTGTCCATGACTTGTCAAAAACAAGGGGAAGTAACAGTTACCAAATCTTAAAAGGTATTTATTTTACAACTTTGGGATGGTTTTAAAGCTAAATTACACTCACGGTTTGGCTATCTCAGTAATGTCAAATCGAGGATCAAGACCCTTCCCAATGCCATCTAATACTGAAAAGAGAGAAAATAAAGAAGTCCATTTAGGAGGATACCGATATACACATATAAATATATGCGTCTCTTTGTTTAACTACAAATAAACACATTACATAAGGCAATGTAAAATGCAAACATATTTCCAACAAAAACATGTCCACCATGTTTCTATTACGTTACCTGAAAATGCTCTAACAACAAATGTGAATGTCGCAGGAAATCTGAAGGGTTGATCTGCTGCAATGGCTAATAAATCTTCCCCTGTTAAAAGAATGCAAGGTACGGAGTATCAAACATCAATGCGCAGTGGAAAAATGCAAAAATAGCCTATGGGTTGCATCAATTAGTATTGACAACAATCCGGGAAATCCAGCCACTGGACAGAAACCAGTTAACCCTTGATTACAGTTGGAGCCCAGACTCAAATTTTACATCGTTTAAAAATGGAAATTTTAGCATAATCAAACTTGGTGCATAAACATGTTTAATTTAAGATAGCCTTAATCAGACATCAAATTTAAATAGCTCAGGTGGCTGAGCTTACACCAAAGACTTAAAAACAATTTCATGTGTAAGGTAGTAGCCACAAGGAAAATCCAAAATATTATTTGGACATTATCGAATAAATGATAATAAGAAACATGTTTAACCAGATTAGAAAATACATGAGATATGAATAGTGGACCTGGTGTCGATGATTTACTTGTTCAAGTGTAAACCAAATAAAGTATGAGGGTAACACCACATACTAACTTATACATCCCTATGGACTGAGAATTTAAATTTTGAGTTGATCCTGTCTAAGCTTGACATGGCATAAATTGGTCCCAGTATAAATGCAGCCAAGAGAAAGCTCACCAGTTCTTATTCTCTAAATTAAACAAGAAGCTGGAGACTGTAAAGGAGTACAAATCATTTCTATCCCACAAAAATGGCTTTCAATTTACTCATTTAGCATCAAAATTTGTGCAGGACTTGACTTAAGCTCTAATGCCTGACATAGGTCTCGCAAACTGAAAAAGGTCAGCCTCCAACTCTTCCATTAAATACTGAGTTGTAAGAATCTAAAACTATGTAAGGTAAGAACCTTAACATAGATAGAGGATTTTGAACAAGGTGAATTACCAATAGCAGCCAGCCTTTCTTTCTTTTTCATTATCCTTTCCTCCTTGCTCAATGGCTTTTTAAACCCAAGCTCTGCTGTCGCCAATTCTTTCTCCTTTCTCTGTGCAGCAAGTCGCTCTCAAAACTGCAAAATTTGAGCATTAGAAAAGAACTCAAGGCAGAATAAAATTTTTGGAACTACTAATCAAAGTTAACATGATATGTTTAACATAAGACCTTGCTTACAAAACCAAGAAGAGCAGGCTGTCAGTCAATCTAAATTACACCCCAGCCCAGTAAAACAATTGACAACTATACAAATAGCTCCATTCCAACCATAAATAGTTTCCATCATTCCAACTAGAACAAAAAACTCCATTGGAACCATAGCTGATACAGTGCCTTATCTAGCACCTCGCAAGTTACATATTACTAGTAGAAGTGTATATAATTCTGATTTGCCACAGAGGCATTATTCCCCAAGTAGCTCGGAAATTCCTCAATACCAGGGAATTTAAATTTTGTACAAAAAAAAAGAAAGAAAGATCAAACAAATTAATTAAGAAACGAACAATGGAAAATTCTGGAAAATTCTATTTAAATTTTCAGTTTTCTTCTCTATCAGAAGATTCAGAAGCACCTGTTAAGAAAAAATAGTGCTGTTCGTCTGACAGCTGTCATATCTCCAGTAGGCACAAGAACACCCATCTGAATCATTGCCTGAAGGACCTGCACGGTATAATTAATTTCCATCATTTAAAGATCACAACCAGGCATTTGAGCCATGGTATAATTAATGTAAGCTAACTGTAATTCCAATTGCTGATCAACATAGTAAAATGAACCGTACTTAGAAAACTAAAAAGAAAGGAAAAAAAAGATGAAAAAACCTTATCTGGATCCTTTTCATAAACTCCATAAAATGTTTCCAGCAAACCTTCTCTAATGTTTGGGCTGATACTGCAAAGTATAAATATGAAGACACATTTAAAAATACAGAAAAACTTGGAGAGCAGTGATTGGTCGATTGTAGATTAGCAAACAGAGTCAAGGAAATACCTCCCCATCATTCCAAAATCATAAAAAATCAACCTTCCACCATTGACATCATCCACAGCAATATTTCCAGGATGCTGCATTAAGAGGAAAATTGTGGATACAAATTGGCAGGGATATTAACTGCCAGGAATCCAGAAATATGTAATAAAAAAACACGAGGACTACAGCTTTCTTATGTGCAACAGGAATATTGATCCCTATAACCTTGGGAAGGGGGGCATCGAAAAGCTCACGATGGGCCATCTTATAGCTATTTGATACAGCACATATATAAGTAGAAGTCCCAATCTGATAGTAATGAGGGATTGCTTATGAATCTGAGCAGGACATGTTTCTTTTTTCAATTATGGTTTCCGAAATTGCCTTTTGGACTACAGACGCAGCCATGTTTAGTATTTTACTCCAGGACGTGTAAAAGAACTAAACAAGGAGGCCATATTGTCAAATGTGATGACCATGAATGAGGAGTAGGTATTTTCTCATGTACACCCACAGTTCTGAGATTTTCCCAGTTTTCTAAGTTTTGACACCCAAATCATGCTTTAGAACCACAAATTGAATTAAACAACAAAAACTCACAGGATCAGCATGAAAAAATCCATGAGACAGAATTTGTTCCAAGTACGATTCAACAGCATACCGGCCCAGCCTGAGGAAGTCGAATTGATAGTAGAAGCATCAGGAGTGATAAGAAGAGGTCAAAAGTTAACAAGTATTTACCCAGGCTAAGAGACAGAAACTGTACTGACCTTTGCCGATCAAGGCCCAATTGATCTATAGCTTGTATCTTGTTAATCTTGATCCCCGGGACATACTCCATTGTCAGAACCTAATAATAATATAACAGAAGTTGGATTTAATGAACAATAACATCTAGGAGATCAAAAGTCATTAGTTGTGAAAGCTCAAAACCTGTGGTGTAGTGTATTCCCATATTATCATTGGGACTTTGACATAATCCATGTTTTTGAAGTTACTTGCAAATAGTTCAGCATTAGCAGCTTCCTTGGTATAATCAATCTCCTGGAAAACTTTATAATAATTAGCTATGATTTACAGAATAGTAAAAAAAAAAAAAAAAAAAATTGTATAAAAGAAGGCAGTTTTTAAGATTAAAATGTTTTGAAAATAAGTTATCAACAATTTACTAAGCACAGAATGCTGCATGTGAAAGATGAGCATAAACTATCTGTTATTATTATTATTTTGAGAAGAAACTATAACATTTTATTAAAATAGAAAAGTGGAATTACACAGAAGTGGATAAGAAATCCACCAAGAACAAAACAAGAAAATCTCTCAAGAGGATCTGATTACAAGTAGCAAAACCTCAACCAAAATCACTTTACAGCTGCTAACATATCCCACAGTATGTAAGAAAGAGAGTAATTCTTAAAATCATTCGAATGCGACCCCCACACCAGTATAATCCTCAAAAATTCTTTTGTTACGCTCCAGCCAAATGTTCCAAAAAACTATCTGTTATTATTATTATTATCTTTACCATTTAATAGAAAACAAAAATCTATGTTTAAAAAGTCTAAGAATACTGTCAAGCTGTGAACAATAAAATTGCTTTCTTTTCAAGATAAAAAAGTCAGCATTCAATTATCCTTCTTTGTCTTTGTTGGACTGAACCATCTATATTATTGACCTCTTTTCCTGCATATGTATCACCTAAGTTCCCTCACATGACTTCATCATTATTACTCCATGACTTCCTACATCGTTACTCATCCATGTCAATATCCTTTGACTCGACATGGATGACATCTTATTCCTTGAAGCATGGTTCAACTTATTACGTAGTAAGAAAACATAAGCCACTGTGGAGAATGAGACCTTTACCTACACTAAACAAAAAAGCACGAGTTATGTGCCTTTTGGCTCACTATATGGTGCCAAAACGGTTAAAACAATGAAGGGGGATCTCAATACCTCATATAAGACATTTGCACACTCATCATAGATAGCAACCCAATCCCTCTTCGCACCATCTGACTTCGGGTCAATTTTTTGAAGATATTCTGCAATTACCTGAAAAGAAAATGACAATATGACGATGCTCATCAGAATTTCCACTGCCCTCACAAGACCAAGAGGAACCTTTCACATGTATTTCAATTTTCATCTATAACAAAGTAATAATACACAAGAAACAACCAAACTGAATAGAAAGAATATTATGAGATCTAATGACACAGTTAGCATATTAAGTGAATTAACATTCAGTATCACTTTTGAAGATCCCACTTAAATTCAATCTCAGTGACAATATCGCTTTTCTTGAGTCCCTTTTGAATGATTTGACCATAAGCGGAGAACATCAAGCGGAAATTCACAACTTTGGCAGGCCAAGGGAAGCAAGGAAAAAAAAAAGAAAAGAAGAAACACCAAAAAAGAATTCAACCATGATCAGACAAAACCATGATATCCTAAACTAGCCCAAACATTATCCATGACCTCAGCTCAAGTGGCATGGATCCATAGGGTGAGGGTAAATGGACGTTCAAATCATAGTTGCCAGATACGGATACGGTTCGAGTTCGTGATTCGGTTCGGGTACGGAATTCGATGGTAACCTAAAGTATCATTCGTTAGAGAGTACACATAGATAGTACGATATTTAGTTCGATTCGTTCTTAATTCGTTAAAAATATTTATAATATACATTTTACAATAATACCAAAGATCCCAAAATTGATAGTATTAATCAAGAACTGTAAGCCAATTTGAATACTAATCAAGAACTGTAAGCCAATTTGAATACTAATCAAGAACTGTAAGCCAATATGAGAAACTGACCCTCAGGTTCTTAAGATCAATATTGAAAAGATCCTTAAGTCCAGGCCTCTGTACTTTAACAACAACTTCCTGTCCTTTCAATCTTGCACGGTGAACCTGACCTGCATAAAGGAAGATACCATATTCTCACATTTCATCTCTTATCAAACTGTACTATAACCCAAAAAAAACACAATTATGCTAGATTCATTTTCTGATTTCTCATTCTTTTTGCACAAATTTTGCTATCAGAAACTTGACAAATGCAATCAGGAGTACCAAGACTAGCAGCAGCTATTGGTTCATAATCAAACCGATCAAAGATATCTCCCACAGGAGCACCAAGCTCTTCTTCAACAATAGAAATAGCTGTATCTGAAGGGAAAGGAGGAACTTGATCCTGAAATTAGATTAAGAAAAGATAAGCAACTGCAAGTGATTGAGAAACGGATACGACAGACAAAATTGACTCTACTGTCAGTAGCTGACTGTATAAAACAGTATACAGTATGAATGTGCAATCTTGTTGACATTAAATTAAAGAATTTCCAACCTGAAGTTCTGACAATTGATCAACATATTCTTGAGCAAGAATGTCTACCCTTGTGGAGAACTGCTGGCCAATTTTAATGAATGTTGGACCTAATCTCAAAATATTCTCCTTAAGCCACTTGGCAAGTGCCTTACGCCTCAAGGTTTTCTTCTCCTCTGTCATTCCCCCTGCACATATCCTTTTAAATTAGATACAAGCACTAAAAAATACACAGTCCGCCTGCCTTACGAAAAGAATTCTAGATTCTAAATAAAATTCAAAATATTCCGAGAAGAATTAATTCCTTGAACCATTTATTTATGAGAAAGGCCAATAAATATTAGGCAGTGTGCATACAATGCCCGAACTGCTCAAGCTCATCCACCATTTTTCTCTCACTTAGTATTGAATGGTTGATTCAAGGCACTGCCATGGGGGCAGCATTGCATCCAATTTTTTTATATTCTTTTGCTTAAGAGTTTTCCTATGGAAATTCCCAGATGACATGGATGCTACTGTGGCACCGCCACCCTCAGTTTTTATAAATGTCTTTTACATACATTCACAAAATTATATCTAAGAGAGTTGGGGTGGACACCGTCAATCTTCCTTTGTAAAAAAGGAAGGTACATCCCAAAATTCAGAGAAAGAGGAAACCACAGATTACCAAATGTAAACTATATCCCGCAACCTCTCCTGTTTCCTCACTGCTGAAAATAAGATATAAAATATGTACCTCATATTTTTGTTCATACATATAACCAACAACAGAGCCATCACACTCACTTCAAAGTAACGCTATCAAAATTAGCTTCCAATAACAACTTGTCACAAAGCTTAAGAAAGAGAGCAATTTCAACCTCCCATTTTGCACATAAACATGACTATTACTGGTACCATTGAATAACATTTTTAGCCCCCCTACTTTAATTATAATGCTACAAGGATTTACTGGAGCTATAATCCAGATTATAAACTTGTACCATGTACAGTACTCTAGCCTTCAAAATCATGTGAGATGGTGATGGAAGCCAAGAATTTGTTCTTAACTATTGAAAAGGGATATAGAATGTCTGGTACCAGGTACCAATATACTGTATATTGGGACCTGGTACCAAAACCAAACAATCTCTATCTGTTTTCAAAATTCAAGGAGAAAGGATTGGCTTCCACCACTTTATTAGATTGGTACATTACAAGGCACGTCATGATTAAGTTTTTAAAATTGTGCTGAGTATCTTTAAACCTGACAACAGAGGAAGAAGTTCTGAAGAAGAATGCTTGTTCCTAATAGATTGTAAAATTGGAAGAAATTTCCATGGGAAGAGAGAATCAAGCTCTACACTATTATTACATGGGCTTTGCAAGGGCTTCCTAATATTTCTTCCATTTTTTGGTTTACTCACATGGAAAGCCAAAATGAAAAACTCATGTACTTGACTTTGGAAATTCATTATACAGGAAGTGACTAACCTCGATAAGTAAATTTTTGATTGTCTAACCAAGCCTTTATAATGAATTTTAGAACAAATCCCCATATTTCCAAGGTCCTCTGGATTGTCGAGTAAGTTTTAAATCTACTCCAACGGCCACCAGGTGCAACAGAGACCTGCAAAAACCAAAAAGTACCGTCTTACTTTGGCACATGTGTGCACATATTCAAACTCAAAATACAAATGAAGCAACCAACAAATTTATAAAAAGAAGCGATTTCAATATTATACAGCCAACTCAAAGAAACACAGCTATATAGAGTAGATTCTGGCTCCACATACAATGTAGCAATAAAGTACTAGATGAATCTATTTGTCACTAATGCGTGAATTAGAACACTAAAAGAGATAAATGATCCCCTTTTAAGATTTGCATGAACCATTTTTTATTTTCTTTCTATATTCACTTGTTAAACATCTTTCATCCTATCCTCGTCCCATAAAACTAGGCCAGCTTCAGAGTTACCTAAACCATAAAAGCTATTAAACCATAAAAACTAAGGCTTGAAATAACCGCAAAACAGTAGCTATAGAAAATGGTAATATTGGTAACCGTAGTGAACACACACACATACATCATGTAAAAAATACGATCTCCAACATTATTAAAAGGAAAATATATCTCTGTCATTGGCCGCACTACCACAATAGGTTGCTCAGTTTTATTTTTCTCCAACAATCTGCACATTATACTTGCTGCATCTCTTAATACTACAACCAATCCACACATCTGTATTTCATGTATACTTTTTCTGGTGTTGTAGTCGATGAGGAAAAAAACAACTTTTGACCACTTAGCGTAGCCTACCAACCACATCAATAACATGATCCATTAGACTGCTAATAGTACTTTCTTCACTATGACAAAACCGCCTCAATTTTCCTGAGGTAACAGCATGTTCAAAACCTCTCTGTGAATTAGAATTCTAGTCCTCAAGTCTAAATGAAGATCAAAAAAATTTCTGTTTGTGCATGCAAACCAATTAAGATTTCAACTAAAATTCCAGAAAACCTACATCTACCATCTACATCCCAAATCAATGTCTTGTTACAAACTGCACCGATATGCATACTCGAATTCAAAAGTTGATTTTCCACCATAAAACCAATTGGCAATATAGAGAGTAGCCCAACTTACTTATACGCCCATGCAAGGTCCCTCCTCTCATCAAAGTGGGATTCATTCTCAACAATACCAACTTGTTACTTGTCATAATGTGAGCATCCAACCCTAAACCAATTGGAAATGAGTGGAGAGGTCCGCCCAAGATTATTTAAACTATTACATAAGACTTTAATTCCTCAATTTGGAATTCATGCTCTCAACATAACTTAGCACAAACACACACCACTCCTTTAAAGACAATTGAATAACAAATCAACATCACGCAATCATACCTCGACTTTTGGTAGCCCGCTTTGCTTAAACCACGCATCTTCCTTTCCAATTTCCTCAATATTCTTCCTCCTTCCTTCCTCCTTCGTCTCCAACACTTGAAATCCTTCCACCACTTCCGCTGCCACTCCATTGCCATTCACGAACTTCACCAAGCTCCCGTTACTCGCCCCACTAGCACTGCCATTGGAGTAGCTGTTGACCGAGCCATTGGACCCGTAATCGCTACCACTAGTACTAGCAGCAGCGCCATTACCACCCAACTCGACACCATTGACTTTGTTGATCGTCTCTTCAACTACAAGGCCATCCCCTTTAGTCGCTCTGATTCGGGATCGAACACCGCCTCTAGGGTATCCAATAAGAGAGAATCTAGAGAGAGAAACTCCAGAGGTAGAAAGGCGGCGTTTAGGAGTGGTTTGTGGTGAGAGAAAGGTCAGTTCCAGTAGAGGTAGAGAACAAGCAGCCATTGGGGTGAAAGAATCGAGAATTTGATCAAAACCCTAATCCCCAATTTTCATGCCCGCAAGAGAGAGAGGGAGAGAGAGTGAAGCAACAGAAGAAGAAGACAGACAGACACAGACAGACAGTCTGTTTTGGAGTGAGGAAGGAGATGAAAGTGAGAGAAACGAACGAAGAAGAAAAGGGAGGGAAAGGGTGGAGGTGGGGAGGACACGTGGCAAGTACTAGGATGAGTGTTTTCAAGAAGGAGGCTTCTCATTGGTTGAAAGGCTCTCGCGGGACCGAGAGATTATTGTCATGGACGGTTTGTGGCTGACGTATCAGTCCGAGAAATTTGTGACTGCAAAGGTTCGGGCCTTAAAACAACAATATTGGATTTGATCGAGTTTGTGCGGACGTGGGTTTAGCTAGTTTCAGAGTACTGCTTTACTTTTGCATTCAAGTTCAATTTCTTTTTTTCATAATTTAGATCGTTGTAGTGTTCTACTTCGCATTCAAGTTTAAATTCTTTTCTCTGTAGTTTAAATGAATATATGGTTACTTTGGCCTTGGCAGTGCATGTAGCATGACAATTTATTTGAAGATGCTATTATGCTAAAGATTTCGTTCTGCAGTTCAAGTTCAAGGTTATTTTTTTTCCGTCGAATTTCAACCCACAAGGCAAAGGCTTTACCATCGTCGCGTTGGATGAGTTACGACATTTCTGGAGGAAAACAGATTAAACCACGCTCATCTAGCGATAATTAATGCGGTGACAGTCTTCTCCGTCACTTAAGGAGCAAAAGAACTTTCAAATACACTTGGTGCAACCTCATGTGATTGTTCATCCAGCATTTCTCTTCCGGAAAACCCTAAAGACACCGATTCACATTAGTTGCAAATCAATCAAGTTCACAGTTGGATCTCGGCAATTAAACAAGTCTTCCACGTCTAGAAATGAGATACATTTATTTTAAATTAGCACACGAGTTAGGCTACTAATACAAATCTCTCGCTTATTAATCGTCCAAAACTAAATATTTACTCCTAATCATACAAATATGAGACTCCGATATCAAGAAGGAAACTGCCTGATTTATATTCTGGGCATAGAAAGCAAGTGCAGAAGAGCGTTTTGCAACAACATATCATGCATCATCACTGATTTGGTTACTTGATGAAGCAATCACCTGTGACGGAACTTGGGCCTCACTGTGATTACACCTGGTCTCAACTCCTCAAAACGATACCTGCAATATAACATTTCATCGTTTACACAACAAACTAAACAGTACCATTGCCAGCTTATTAGACCTGAAAAGATCAAGAAACTAAAAAAAAGTAGGTATCAATTCTGTGAATTTATAAGTACTTGCACAAAGGAAAGATGCATCACCCATTCTCGTTAAGGAAACTTCTCACAGCTGTTGGAAGTGCAGCCTGTCCTCGGCTATGATTACCTCTACCTACACGTACAAACACAGAAATCAGGGTTGCATCCTGTAACTATCCTCCCCCACCCCACCCCCCACAAGACACACACGCACCAAGAAGGAAAAAAAAACAATGTAGTGCCACATTTTTTCATTTAATCCTCTAACAAGCATTGTATTGATTCCAGAAAGACTGTTTTCCCATCTTGCCAAGTAATGACCAAGTTCCAGCAAACATATCATTCATGAGTAGATGAATTTAGGGCAAGCAATGTTCAGTCCTCTTTGGGATTGTTTTGGTAGGAAGCGGTTTTGTTGGTTATACTTCTGTTAAAAGCACATAAATTTTGAATAAAACACAACCCAATCCAGCATCGTCACAGAGTGCTTCCTGACGAAAGAACTGAAAATGATTCTCTTACTTATGTTTTCTGTAACTTATATTTCCAGTCAAACATTACTTAAAGTGGTTTTCGTTATTCACTAGCTTTTTCACCCTGCACAAGGGACTTTCACACACAGTGTTTGGATAAGGAAATTTGCAGGTAACAAAGGGATTTAGAATAATTAGTTCGAAATGAACTACAAACATTAGATAGAGGGATTTGAAATGACTTTAAAATCGCACTTATTCTCTACAGTCCTTAACCCAAAATTCAAATAACCTGAAACATTTATCTTGGCCCTTCAAATCAACCTGAAGCCATTGAAAAGCTGATGACTAGTTATATTCCAACCATCTTTTCTGTCAGCCCCTATTTTTTCCCTTTAAGTTTAAAACCTATCATTGTACATCCATGATTTTCCAAATCCCTACCCCCCAACATACAGCATATGTTTATAAAGATTGTCCTAAATGATATTAAGTTTAACTGGTTTGCTTCAATTTAATGATAATATTTTCCCTAGCAGAAAAAAATAAGGCAAACAAATAAGTGTGTCCCAAATTATCCTATGTCAACATAAAGTAGAGATTCTAGAATTTTGATGCATGAAGATAAAATTAAATTCCGACATTATTTACTTATGTCATCTGAAATTATAAATTCAATGAATGAAACATTATACCTGTGATGATCTCTAAGGATGCCGATCTTTGCGTTGATGATGCCTTCTGTTGATCCAATTTCTTTCTGTCAGTACAACTAAACGACTCATGTGATGAAGAACGTATAATCATCTTTTCCATCTTAACTCTGTTTGGTGACACAGAGCGATTAGCTAGCTCCTTTGTTTCAATTTGTTGCAGGTGTTCGTGCAAGGCTTGAATTGCTTCTGATGCATGAAGGCCATGTAAATCCAATTTCCATAAATCATTTTTGCTATTCTTGATCCTTAAAATTTCTTTGGCTGCCTTCTTATTGAGGCTTTCAGCAGCCAACCGTTCCTCTCGAGCCTTCTTTGAGTGTTGTTGGGCAGAAAAATGGTCACCTCTTGCAAAGGCATGAGTGGCTGCCTTAGAGTGCTGTGATGCTGACCTGTTTATTTAAGATAAGAAAAATTTCAATGCTACGACATAGTATGCAAAAACATAGGTTTTTCAAGAAGCACGACATATCCTGCAGATCCAATGCTATGACATAGTTTAAAAAAGCTGACGAAAACAGCAAGATAAAGTACAAAATTCTGTTGTGAAACCTAAGAAATGTTCATATGAGAAGTGGCAACAAGCAAAAGCTGTATACCTTTACTTTGGGTGGATGACTAAACAACGAGAATGGCAACACAAAAAGAAGGCAGCATAAGAACAAAAAATTATGCCAAACACGGAGAGAAAAACACAGTTGCCACTGCTTAATAGTCATATCCTGCAAGTTCATGAACAGAAAGCATACCTCATCATCCTTAATGCATCTTTTCGATGCTTCAAGTAAACATCATCCTCTTCCCACTCAGGTTCGATGGGTACAGACTCCAAACTCCCCAGAACCAGCTTCCTATTTGCTGCATCAATAGCAAGCTTTTGCACACCGTAATCATCACCAGTTAACAATTCTATCTTATTCTCTTTGAGACAGTTTTGAATTGTAGAGTTACGGTTAGAAATGCCAGAAGGAGATTGAGGAACATATTCTCTATCACTTAAAGAGACATTTGAGCTGGAGTTGTTTTTTTGAAATGCTAGTTTGGTTATTCTCTCCACAGCTGCCGGAGGAAACCATTGTTTCAATAAAATTGAGGCCTTATCCATATCATTATCCATTGCAACCATAATATCCTCAATCAAGAAATCGTCAGCCCAAGGGTAAAGATCCATGATTTTCTTCATGGAAGATGTATTATCTTCCACGGAAGTGTACTGTTTCCCACTGGAATCGCCATCTAATAAAGGTCTTTTCCCAACGCTATTCTCTGCCGAAGTTGAACAATCTACAGATGGGAGGAGTAGAGTTGAAAAAGGCCTGCCCGGAAGGTCATTATTCCTCGGTACGTTTACACGAGGATGTAGAGAAGTTAGAGTGTTCGGTATAGTTAGGAAAGGATCCTTGTAAACTTGAGGCTCGAGGCCTTTTTTCTGGCGCTGCTTGAGGTCAAAGGCAGCCCAACCACCAGACTCATCGCGAGCCCTTGACATCCGCCTACATGAACATATATATAGAATTTAAGACTACAGGTTACTTTGCTACCAACACCAGTCCGTAACTTGCACCCAACATACAAAGAAACTGGAGGGTATTATATCGAAAAACTAGCATGAAAGTGATTATGCAGCTCGAAATTTAACAACTCAAATTCATGTTCATCTCGCTACACAATCAAAATTCTGAATACTTGTATGAAAAAGCCGCAAATGGTTGTCTTATATATATAATACGAAAGGTTTCCAAAAGTTATATATAGAAAATAAGAATTTCAAGCGCAAAAGAAAGCTAAAAAAAAATGAACAGAGAGATGGAACCCATGGATTGGAATGAACAGAGCATCTAAAAAGTACCTTCCTTTATATATAAATACGAAATCCGAGAATTGAGGCGATAATCGATCCGACGACTGATACTTGGAAAGGATTGCAGGAAATACGACGACTTTCTTGGCTGATTCCCGCGGTCCAATTTCGTATCACGTATCCATAAATCCACCTGAGATTTGCAGAAATACAATCCCACAAGGACAGAGAGAGATTCTTCAAGCTGAAAAGGCTTTCTAATTCTTCTTCTCTCAAAGCTATCAGAGAGAGAGAGCAGAAAGCGGCCGAAGAACTACGAAAGGCACAAGGAAAGCTTCTTTTTTTGTTTACCAGGAATGCCAGCAACCGTGGTATATGCTTCAGAGGATGGGAGGAGGTCATAAAAAAAGAGAACATATTGCTGTAAAAATTGAACTTGAAAGCCTTTTTGGTTAAAGAGTACTGTTTGGTTGATACTTCACGTATATTTTGTACCTTTTTACCTAATATTTAGTCATGATTTTATATTAAAAATTGTTTTTTTTAAAAAAAAAAAAAAAAAAACCTCTTTCAGAAACCGAAAAGACTCAGAGGTATTTTAACCTCTTCTAACCACAATCTTGCTATTCATCAACTGCAAGAATCAAACACAGGACGTATCATGTAAAATACGAGTCAAAAGTTCATTTCCAACCATTGAGTCATCCGTGATGATTTATATTAAAAATTGTTGAGTTTAATGTGTTTTTATGCGAGTTTTGTTAAGAAAAAAAACTAGCAATCAGCACACACGTTCTACGTGTTCAACTAAATTCGTTTTTTATTCTACTCTTACTTAATGAGTAAGGAATGAGGATTTTCTCTATACTCTCTTTGTGAGGATCTCGAAGATTTTCTATTTACATCCGTTCATCATATATCGTGTGATCATAAATTATTGTAAATTTTTTTATTTAAAATTAAATATAAACAATATCTAACAAAAATTGATCACATGATGTATGATGTGAAAATTCTCGGTTCCTCACAAACTCATCCGTGTCTCTTCTCCATATTCGCACGTTCTTCAATATGGAATCTAGAATTGCAACACGCTGGAATCGAAAACAACATAACACAAAGAAGATAAAGGGAAAAAACTGCCTACGCCTCCATATTTAATTGAAAGATTGATTTATAAGGGAATTGCAATCTCAACCGACCCTCGTCTTGAAGCCCAGTAGAGAGAGAAGCAATTGGGTATTCGTTCATTATGGTAACAATGAATAACAACCCACGATTCTCATACGAAAATTCACACCCATCGAACACTTCAACCTCACAGAGACGATAAAAAAAAAAACAAAAGAACCCAAAAATTAGGGACTGAACACTGAGTAAATGTGCTGAAATAGAAATCCTACACAATATTCTCTCTTTGTTGAAAACAACGCCATGACTGCAGCAGCCCAGGACCTCATTTTTTTTTTTTTTTTTTTTTTTTAAAAGCTTGGCTTTTTAATCAAAATGATCCATGAAATTTGCGTAACACATCACTTTGATTTTTGAAATCAAAACTCAATAGAAGTAGTCCCTAAGATTGTCCACCATCCATTATTTTGATTCTTCCGTTACAAACTTCATTAATTGGTCCCGAAGCTCATACTAGAAACTTAGATTTTTTGCCAGAAGTTTGGGCAATTTTTAAAGCTTCGTAACTCAATCGTTTCTTAACCAAATTCGGCCCATAATATATCAAAATGAAAATAGGAAAGTGTTGAACAAGATTATACCTATTTGGAAGCTCAATGGTTGCCAGAGATGGCCGGAAAATAGCATGAAAGGTGACTGGTCCGCTGGAAAACTGAAAAACTCGTCGGAAACTGGGTAAACTTTAAACATTCATAACTTCTTCAATACTCAATAAAATCGAGTGATTCAAAAACAAAAAACATACTTCTTGATAAGACAAAGAGATTGGTACATTTTTCGACGGCTAACTCGCCATGGTTTGGCCGAAAAACAGCTAGAAAATGGCTAACTCGATGAGACCAGGACAGGCACTTTCGAACCGTTTTCCGGCCAAACTACAACGAGTTAGCCGTCGAGAAAGATACCACTCTCCTTGTCTCGTCGAGAAGTATGATTTTCAGTTTTGAATCACTTGATTTTCTTGATTATTGAAGACGCTATGAACAGTTAAAATTTACCCAGTTTTCGGCGAGTTTTCCAGCTTTTCCACGGACCAATCACCTTTCAGGATGTTTTTCGGCCAAACCACGACGTGTTAGCCATCGAAAAGGTACCATTCTTTTTGTCTCGTCGAGAAGTATGATTTTCATTTTTGAATCACTCAATTTTAATTGAGTATTGAAGAAGTTATGAACGTTTAAAGTTTATCCAGTTTCCGGCGAGTTTTCCAATTTTTCCACGAACCAGTCACCTTTCAGGCCATTTTCTGGCCATCTCCGGCAACCATTGGGCCTCCAAATAGGTATAATCTTGTTCAACACTTTCCTATCTTCATTTTGATATATTATAAGTCGAATTTGGTTAAGAAACGATTGAGTTACGAAGTTTTGAACATTGCCCAAACTTCTAGCCAAAAATCTTAGTTTCCGGTATGAGCTCCAGAACCACTTAACAGAGTTTTTAATGGAATGACCAAAATAATGGATGATGGACAATTTCAGGGACCATTTCTATTGATTTTCAATCTCAGGGACTAAAGTGATGTGTTATGCAAATCTTAGGGACCATTTTGGCTAAAAAGCCTGAAAGCTTCTAGACCAAAATTACGCTTGCCCAACACCTCTCCCATTTGCTCATGCCTTCAAATACCAGCGCCGCCAGTTTTCCTTCGAGCTTCAAACCTCATCTGCATATGAGATCTGTGAGGTGCAGGTGTTCAAATAGGGAGGGGATAATGGGTTGCGAGTTTGGATTATGATGGCTGAAATTCTTTTTCCTCCTCCTCTAAGATTTTTGGAACTTTGTCCCTTATGGTGCTGCAAGTTTTCGACGGGACCGGAGGGGTGGACCGTCACTCTTGAGCTTAACTTCCAGCAAAGGGAGGGGCGACTGCCCCTCCTTGCTCCTATATATCTTCGCACTGGGGGAAACCAAGAATGGGGTTACAATGGTATGAGAGTTGATGAGAGAGAGACAGGTTATATGTACCAACTTTATAATAAACAAAACTCAACATTTGTGGACCAAAACATCACAAAGCTCCTCCAATGATTGAAAAATACAACTCAGCATCCATCGTAACTGACGAAAACCGTACCACGTCCTCAACTCATCACCACCATTAGCCACCACCATATCTCTCTTCCTATCTTTCTCATTCCCATGAAAAATTTACCCAGCCACAAAATCCGATCTCTTTGTCTTATGTTGAACCATACGCCCCATCCCCACCTAACACTGCCCAGAATCTGTGACGTCGACAATGAAAAAGGTAATGGTAAATTTGTGAGGCTTATGTGAAAAACAGTAAAATTTTGTTTAAAGGGTTGTAATAATAATTTCATAGTGTTTTGGTTGAGTAATGCGTAGATTAGATGAAAAATAATTCTACTCGGATGTCAGATTTCTATAGAATTTTGCATAACTTAATTCGAAGCAACGTGAAAAACGTTACTTTGGTTTTACCACTCACAGTGGAGATTGGAATTCTCTACAGAATTCCTCAAGTTCTTCCTCCGAACTTATATCAAACGGCATACAATGTACTGTAATGACCTATGAGTTTAGGACACACACAGTTATGATCAAGTTAACTATTAAACTATCTAACGAATACAAGTCCCTTTCAACCAACTAAAAACTAAAGTCACTCGCAAAGCACTACATGACAACTTAACATTTGTCCTCCTTCACTATTAGCTTGTAATGGAAAAAGGACAGGGGCATACTATATGGTGTAAGAAGAAAAACTTAACGAATTTGAATGACTCGTACACCTTATGGCAGTTATGGATCTGGATTACCATACATGAAGAAGTCTGAACGGCATATTACTCCGGATTACTATGAAGCTATTCAGAGTAAGGTAGATCGAAGTATGCATGCCTTTGTAGTTCGATCATGAACTAAACAACTTCTAACTTGGAACACAAACTGATCAGTGATGCATCCATCATCCTATTCCGAGGCATCGTTGAGATTGACCATGCTTATTCTGCAAGAAAATTAACCTCGATCCGGTATGGAATCAGCCAAGTTTCTTATATTCTTGGAGTTCCAACAATTTAGGGATTGGCGTGTATGGATGCAAATTTTTGCCTTCTTCTTCTTGGCTGAAATTGCACCTACAAAATGATGCGAAAATTAACTTAACACACAAATTAAACCCTCTTTTGACAATTGTAGTATATAAGTAAGTAGGGATCGTTCTTAAACCGAGGATTAGGAGGGATTGCTAAACACTTTAAACTGACTCAAATAACTAAAACTAAACTTTAACACACTTAACTCGACTTAAAAGACTCAAAACAAGTTCACAAGACTCAAAATAAGCTAAAAACACTCAAAATGGCCAAAAAAACACAAACTGGGCAGATTTGACTCTAAACACAAATTTAGACGAATTTTTGGTTTTAACTTGACTCAAAACACTTGAAAACACAATCTAAAACAAATTCTAACTAGTTAGACACTCTAAAATAAAGGGGGATTTGGTTTTGGATGAAAATAAAGTCAACAAAACAAGAATTTAAACTAGGCAGATTTGCGCGAATTTGGTGAAATTAGATGGATGATGGGCTAGCTAGGAGGTCTTTCTCCACACATGACATACTTGCATACAAAACAATCTCCAGTTGCTTATTCAATGAACCATGAACCTCAACACCCCAAGTTAATTAGGTATGCTTAAATTAACCCTCAGATTTTCCTTAAGTCATTGAATTGAATGGAATTAGCGCATTGCAATCAAATTATTCTTCAAAAGTTCTCTACATGAAAGCGCATAATAAAGAAACAATCAAAGATCATTAAATTCTATGAAAATCATAAGTGTTGACGAGGCATTCGTAACTATGAAAGCGCATGATACTTATGCCAAGAATTTACTTAACATGATTATGACTAACAACCTTTACTACTCATGAATATAAGTTCCCAACGATTAGGTGAAGTTTCCTTATATCTTAGCATCAAATTTATGCATGCAAATTAAGTGTGCACTCTCAACCCACATACACAAACAAGTTTTAATTCAAATAGATAAGTAAATTGAATTCACCATTCATGAAATCACCACTGGAAGTAATCAAATCATAATGCAAATATAGCCATGGTTTCGAAACTCCCCCTAGCCAAGAAAGGGATTAGTTCCTCATGCTCACAAAGCAAAGATTCTTGAAATTAAACATTGAAAAACACAAGAAAGATTACACCTAAAATGTTCCAGCAATTCCAAGTCGAAT